AAATTCAAATGGGTAACACAACATATGAATTTAACTATACAATGGGTGGGAAGGGAGGCTAATGCATTTGCTAACTATCTAGCCAAGCAAGCAGCAACTAGGGATCAGTGGAATTGGGCCCAATTGTAATTTTTATGCTGTTTTTTTTTTTCTTTTAAAGAGTGAGGCTGCACTTTGCACCTCCCTTGGGGATGCTTGTAACAGATATTTATCTTTTTGCTGATAAAGAATTCTTAATGAACTTTTACCTATCAAAAAAAAAAAAAAACATCTCACTGCTGATCAAAATTTAAGCAAAAACTGATCAGTTGGAAAGACCATGCAAATGCCATCCATAATACATGGCACTACATGCTCAATGCAACATTTAAAAGTGGGACTATAGGAGAAGTAACAAAAAATAGAGTAATTGATACTCACTGCTGATCAAAACTTGGAGTGATTAACAAAAGCAACAAAAATTGGATTTGTTCAATAATTTATTTTTAGGATCTCCCCATCTCTAATATACCGACTTTTCTACTATTTTTTACTGTCTGGTCTGATTTCTATCTAATCTTTTTGCATTTCCTGCTCCCTTGAAAGATTCTTGGATGATTATTAGTTCCTTAAGTAGTATCAAGTCTTCCTTGAATTCTTGATGGTTCTTTCCTGAAATTCTTCTTTAACTTATATTCTGCAGTTCTGCTATAATCTTTCTTAATTTTCTCCATCTTTAGACACAGGATTTATCCTAAAGGAAGAAAGAATGATTCTTTCAATCCTAAGAGAAATCACATATTCCTAGGAATCTTCTCATTGAGAGAACAACCCTATTATCGAGAACACAATCCAGAATCTACAATATTCCATTAGTTTAGAACTGGTTTCGCAGACCCAAAACGTCTATAGGGATGCTCCTAAATCCTCCGTAGAGCTCATAATTAATTCTGGGTTTCTCATCTCATACCTCTCTATGGCTTCATTCGGTTTGTGGGATGGGAAGGGGAATAATGAACTATTCTCAAATATTTCACTCTTCCCATGTTTGGTTTGTGGGATGTCATGAGATGGGAAGGGAAAAGGTGGAATTACAGTTCTCAATTCTTAGGATGTGAAATCCCACCATTTTGATGGAAAACAAGTGAGAAAGGAGGGGGAACTTGTTTAACAGAAAAAGCACCTTCCTTACAGTATTTTTAAGAGTTAATATTAGACCCATGACCCATTAATAAATTACTAATTATTTAATAACATATTAATAAAATAATTTAATTATTAATTAATAATAAAATATTAAAATTATTAATTAAGTTATAAGTATTAAAAATAAAATATCAATGTTAATAATTAATTAAAAATACCAAAATTAATTAATTAATTGATTGATTAATTAACTAATAATTGAATAATTATTTTATTACTAATTTACTTAATACATCAATAAACAATAAAATGTTAACTAATTAAAAAATTAATAATACAAAATAACATAATTAATTAATTCATAATAAATATTAAGGCTAAAGTGCTGTGGAGCTACATTTCATTTGCAGTCTATTGGTGTATTTGGAAGGAAAGAAATAGAAGATACATTGAAGACAAGTGCTAGAGTTAAAGAAGACTAGTGGTGGCTATTGGCAAAGTCTCCTCAGTTTGGGTGCTGGTGCATCCTGAATTTGCTTTAATCAAAAAGGAAGATTCAGGGGAAAGGTTTTGGGAGGAGTTAGAATTACAAAATTGTGACATCAATAGTATCTACTGTTGATGCTTTTGTATGTTTAAATGGTTTTAAATTTGCTGCATGAGTGGGTGTTATTTTGACACAGCTTTCCATATGTCCTCTCATCCCTCAGACTCTCCTTGGATAATAGATTCTAGAGCCTCAAACCATATGATGAGTAAATCCAATTGTTTTCAATCTTATCATCTATTATCTGGTCGGGAGAAGGTGAGACTTGTTGATGGTTCTTTCTCCACCACAGCTGGTCAAGGAACCATCTCCCTTCCTCTTGGACTCACCCTTTCTGATGTTCTACATGTTCCAAAACTACCTATAAACTTGTTCTCTGTTAGTAGTATAACAAATTCGCTAATCTGCTTAGTAACCTTTTTCCCTTCCTCATGTGTGATGCAGGTTTTGGCTACGGGGAAGATGATTGGTAGAGGTTGTATGGTGGGTGGTCTTTACATGATGGAGAATAAAGCTAGTCTTGCGGCCATTGAGTCTAAGAGTCTGTCTAGTAAGAGTCAAGTCCATTTATGGCATAGTCGTTTGGGTCATTTATCTTTTGAATCAATAAAAGTTTTGTAACCAGATTTATTTAAGTCAATGACAGTGTCGGATTTCAGATGTCAAACTTCTCAGTTGAGCAAACATTGTAGAAATCATTTTACTTCAAAAAATAATTGATGTAGGGTGGCCCAGCCCAGCCCATTCAGGGCTGGGAGGCCCAGCCCACGAACACCAGAACCAGGAACGCAACTAACCACAGCAGGAGATACCATGCACCCCTCGTACGAAGCCAACCGCAGAGCGCTCACGCCTCCCTGCAGAGCTCTCTGACTGCCCTCGTACGGCTCCCATCTCAGGCGTTCATCTCCACCAACCTCCAGGCGGCTCAAGTATATATAGGGGGTAGCCCCCCTCTAGGTAAGGGGGGACCTGATTCTGATTCTGAAATCTGACCCTACCACAGAATTTGAGTGTCCTCACTTTGGGAGTGCAGTACCTACGCATAGCCTCCTCGGAGACTTCGTTTGTACTTGATTCCCCTCTTCGCACCCCCATACTGACTTGACCATCGGAGCCTCTGCCTCGGGTCCTAACCCGAGGCCTCTGACGTCCTCTGTCTTGCAAAACTCCAGTTATTAGTCCTCGGCTTCTATGGGATTCGATACACTTCAGCCTCAACCCCCAGCCTTCGGCCTTGGTACCTCGTCCTCGAGTCCTTCGAAACCTTCGACATACCCTTTGAGCTCAAGGGAAGAAATTACTTTGTTGTCCTCAGCCAACTTGAGCATCAACAATTGGCGTCGTCTGTGGGAAGCGTTGCTAAGACGTTCCCTAAAAGAACTTTAACGAGATAACAAGTCCCCAAGCTTCGACCAACCAACATGGTGCGAAGAACAAGAAATACACAAAATCTTGTCACCATAGAACAATTCCAGGTCGTGCTCAATCGCCTGGAGTACTTGACACAGCAAGTTGAGCAGAACTACCCCCAGGTAGGAGGTCACCCCTAGGGTGACCACCTCGTCGGGGAGTCAACATAGTCAGGCTGTTATGGGTCCACCAGCCAATCGGTCCCCAGCCTCGGCCACGCGCAACGGACCAAGCCTTTAGAGTCCGGTAGCAGTCGCTAGGCCGACCCGCTCTCCAGGACCTCTAGACTTCCCAACCGTAGGGAGGGCAACTCCAGACCTCCCAACCGAAGGGAGGAAGAACCGGAACGATCAGAGGATAGCCGCCAACCCTCCGAGCAACATCACTGATGCCGAAGGACCAATCCGAGGGACGAAGGCGAACGCCGCGATCGCCCCATCGCCTATTCCAGGGCCAAGGCCGGCGTCAAGCCTCTTCCCCTCACGTCTTGGACCTCCGGGACGTTTTGAACGACCACCACGCAAGGCGCTAAGCACGCGGTCTCAACTTCGAGCACTCCGGAGTCCGCGCCGAGCACCATCATGTCCATGAAAACCGGGATGGTGCGCAAGCCATGCCTCACCCCATTTTCGCCGAACTCCGAGCCGAGCTTTGTGCTGTCAAAGCCGAGCTCCGACAGGTTAAGGAAGGCCAAACTGACACCTCAGCCGGACAAAAAAACTACCCAGGGAGAATGGATGCCTTCTCCCTTGATATCATCGTCGAGCCTCTACCCCCAAACTTCAAAGCTCCCACCTTGGAGATGTACGACGGGAACACTGACCCGGACAACCACCTAGAGAGCTTCAGGGCGCTCATGATCCTGTATGGATATTCCGACACCTTGGCGTGCCAGACTTTCCAAGCAACCTTCAAGGGAGTCGCTCGGCGGTGGTTCTCAAGTCTCCCACCTCGATCCATCAACTCGTGGGAGCAGTTTTCCAACATGTTCCTCGCATGCTTCATCAGTAGCCGGCGCCCCCAAAAAAGCATTGTCTCGCTGATGACTGTCAAGCAGAAGCGAGGAGAGAGTCTACGGTCATACATCGACCGCTTCAAGAAAGAAGAACTCGAGGTCCGCGACCTTGACCCCCTAGTCTCCATGCATGCCGCCATCAGCGGGCTCCTCCCCGTCTCGGCCCTCAAATGCTTCATTGCCAAAAGCCAGCCAAAGATGAAGCTGGAGTTCCTAGAAAGGGCCAAAAAATACATTGCCATCGAAGAGGCTTCGGCTACAGACGCCCATGAGAGAGGCATAGAGCACCGAGACGAAGCCCCCGAGAAGAAGAGGAAGAACGAAGACCAGGGTCGTAGCAACAACAACAACAACAAGAAAGCACCGGCCTTGGCCTTGGCTTACAATCAGTACACGCCACTCAACTCCACCCGCACATAGATTTTGATGCAAATCGAGTAGGAGAAATTTATGAAGTGACCTGAAAAGTTGAAGAAGAACCCTCGCCGAGGTAACCCCAAAAAATACTACAAGTTCCACCAAGGCACCAGCCATGACATCGAGGACTGTTATGATCTCAAAAATGAGATAGAGTCCCCCATTCGTCGGGCCCACCTCAAGCAGTACGTCAGAGGCAAGGCCGGTGCCTCGTCCTCTCAACAGCAACACCAACAAGCAGAAGGCATCATCGATGTCATAGTGGGAGGCACGGCCTCAGGTGGAGCCTCGGCCTCAGCTCGCAAAGCCTACACCAGGCAGCTGAACATCCAAGGGCCAGCCCCCAAGAAGCAGAAGCAAGAGTCCCTCTCCTTCACAGACGAGGACCTGAAAGGGGTAGCAGTCCCCCATGACGACGCATTGGTGGTTTCGGCCGTCATTTCAAACTTTGTAGTCAAAAGGATCCTTGTTGACAGTGGCTCCTCAACCAACATCCTTTTCTACGAAGCTTTTGAAAAGATGAAGATAGCTCCAAAGCGCCTCCAACCAGTAGATGCTCCACTAGTCAGCTTCTTTGGCGGAATCGTCAAACCAGAGGGCAAGATCTCCCTACCAATCACAGTAGGGACGGAGCCCCAACAGGTGACAAGGATGACAGAGTTCCTGGTCATGAAGATTGGCTCACCCTACAACGCCATCATGGGGAGACCAACTCTCCACGCACTCCGGGCAGCCATCTCCTACTACTACCTCGCTTTGAAATTCACCACTGATCACAGCATTGGAGTTGTTCGTGGGGACCAGCATGCCGCCCATCATGCTATGTGGCAGCGTTGAAGGGCAAGAACAAAGAAGCTTTACCACTAGAGGGTCTCGACCTCATGGAGGAGCCAACGAGCCGAGGTCAGTCGGCCGAGGACCTCGTCTCGGTCCCCCTAGACGAGGACGAGCCCGACAAGACAGTCCGTGTCGGGTCCAACCTTCCCCCCGAGAGCTTATCTGAACTGGCTGAGCGTGGATCCGAGCTCTAGGCCAGTTCAGTAGAAGAAGAGGAACTTTGCACCGGAGCGTTGGAAGGCCATAGAGGAGGAAGTCGAAAAGTTACTCGACGTCGGCTTCATCCGAGAGACCTTAACCGAGCCTGCCCCAAGGATAGTTTTCCTTGGCCAAGGATAGACCACCTCGTTGACGCCACTGCAAGGTATGAGCTACTTAGCTTCATGGATGCCTTCTCAGGATACAATCAGATAAAGATGCACCCAGACGATGAAGAAAAGACCTCGTCATCACTGAACATGGCACATACTGCTACCGTGTGATGCCCTTCGGCCTCAAGAATGCTAGGGCCACCTACCAGCACCTTGTCAACAAGGTGTTTAAAGAACAGATGGGAGGAAAGTTGAAGCCTACGTGGATGATATGGTAGTGAAGAGCCTGAAGGCCGAGACCTTCAATACCTTGCGAAAGTACAACATGAAGCTCAACCCCAACAAATGTGCCTTCGGCATTACATCAGGCAAATTCCTAGGTTTTGTCTTCACTCAAAGAGGCATTGATGCTAATCCTGAGAAGATACAGGCCATACTAGCCATGGTACCCCCGCGGACGGTAAAGGAGACCCAAAAACTCACCGGCCGAATAACAGCCCTCAATCGCTTCATGTCAAAGTCAGTCGACCGCTGCCTACCCTTCTTTTGTGCCATCAAGAAGCTAAAAAAGTTCCAATGGACGGAGGAGTGCCAGCGCGCCTTTGACGAGCTCAAGGCGTACCTTACTCGCCTCCCCTTCTCACCCGTCCGGCCGAAGGGGAAACCCTGTACCTGTACCTCTCGACCGAAGATGAAGCAGTCAACTCAGTCCTCATCAAGGAAGATGGCGTGCAGAAGCCAGTGTACTATGCCAGCAAGGTTCTCTATGACGCCGAGACTAGGTACCCCGAGATAGAGAAGTTGGCTTTTGCCCTCGTGGTTTCGACAAGGAAACTTCGACCGTACTTCCAGGCCCACACTGTAGTGGTCCTGATGAACCAGCCCCTCAAGGCTGTCGTCACCAAACCCGAGACCTCGGGGCACCTGACGAAGTGGGCCATCGAGCTGTCTGAGTTTGACATCCAGTACCAGTCGAGGCCCACGATCAAAGCACAAGCTCTGTTAGATTTCATAGTAGAATGCACCTTCAACCGAGCCCTTTGCCAACCCCCAAAAAATGCTAAGGGGGATCATGTGGACGACGAGGCTCAACCCCGATGGAAGCTTTTTGTTAACAACTCCTCCAATGCTAAAGGAAGCGGAGCGGGCCTCATCCTCCTCACCCCAGATGATGTTGCCCCTGGATTATGCGCTAAGGTTCAACTTTCCAGCATCAAACAATGAAGCCGAGTACGAGGCCCTGCTCGCTGGTCTACGGTGAACGGCGAGTACGAGGCCAAGGAACAAAGCATGTCCAAGTACCTCGCCAAAGTCCAAGATCTAGCCCACCACTTCCAACGCTTCTCCCTGCAACGGGTCCCACGAGCCAAGAACGCACGAGCCAACGCCCTCTCCAAGTTGGCAAGTACCTGAGAGGATCCCCCGGTTGGACCGTGCACGTCGAGAAGCTGCTTCGGCCCTCCATTGAAGAAGCCCAWGTACTCCCAATAGAGGTCGAACCTTCATGGGTGGATTCCATCGTCAACTTCCTATCCATTGGACGGCTGCCCGAAGATAGAAATGAAGCAAAACGACTCAGACAACAGGCAGCCCACTACACCCTACTGAAGAGGAAACTGTACCGAATATCCTTCACCTTGCCTTACCTCCGATGCCTTCGTCCAGAGGAGGGCAGCTATGTGCTACGAGAAATTCACGAAGGCATCTGCGGTAATCATTTCGACGAGAGAGCCCTAGCCCAAAAAGCCCTAAGGTAGGGCTACTTCTGGCCTACCCTCCACAAGGGCGCAGCTAGATTAGTGCGAAAGTGTGACCCATACCAAAGGTACGCCAACTTATGCCACCGATCGGCCACCACTATCTCAGCCCTCAGCAGCCCATGGCCCTTCGCCAAATGAGGCATGGACCTCTTTGGCCCCTTTCCTCAGGCCACGGGGGGCAGAAAGTACCTCGTTGTTGTAGTAAACTACTTCACCAAGTGGGTGGAAGCCAAGCCCTTGGCCGCCATCACGGCGCGAGCCATCCAAAATTTCTTTTGGAAAAACATCATCTACCGCTTCGGCCTACCCTACATGCTGGTCATCGACAACAGGAAGCAATTTGATGACGCTGAGTTCTGGGAGTGCTGCGCCTCCCTCGGCATCAGGCAACAGTACACCTCGGTAGGCTATCCTCAAACCAACGGCCTAGCCAAGGTCACCAACAGGACAATACTGGATGAGCTGAAGACTAGATTGGACCGAGCAAAAGGCCTATGGGCTGACGAACTAAACGGTATACTTTGGGCTTACCGAACTACGCCTCAGACAGCCACGGGAGAAACTCCCTTCTGCTTAACCTACGGCACAGAAGCAGTAATCCCAGCAGAGATCGGCCAGCTAACACTCCGAGTTGAGGCGTACAATGAAGTTGAGAATGATGAAGCCCTCAGAGCAAACTTAGACCTGCTGGAAGAAGCCCGAGAACAAGCACAGATAAGGGTAGTCGCTTACCAGCAGCGAGTGGCCCGCTACTACAACTCCAGGGTAAAAGAAAGACACTATCAAGAGGGAGACCTTTTCCTCAGAAAAGTCATGGTCCCCGAACCTGGAGTAGGGAAGCTAGGCCCCAACTGGGAAGGCCCCTACAGAATCAAGCGAGTCATCGACCCTTACACTTTTCACCTAGAACACCTAGATGGAAGATCTAAACCTCGGACATGGAATTCAGAGAACCTCCGGATGTACTACAAGTGATTGTAACATCTCTTTGAAATTATGGAATGAATGAAGCAAAGTTCCTCTTCGACTCAAAGGAAGCCACCTCAGTGGCAGCTAACCTCATAAACTTTCACACTTAGCGCTACCAGCAAAGGAAGCCAACCTCCTCGAAGCGTTGCGCTTGACCTCATCGAAACATACGTGCGGGGATATGAGAGCCAGGCGAGCTTCAACTCTGCCTAGGCCCCAAAGAGCCAAACGAGCCTCAGCTTTGTCTTGGCCACCCCCCAATACGGCTGGCCACTTCGGCCTCGCTGAAGCCAACACTTAGAAGAATGGGAGACAGGCGAGCCTTACCTCAGCCTCGGCCCCCACTCTCACGTTGATAGGTCATCTTGCTATTTACCCAAGTATAAGGGAAAGAGAGCCAGGCGAGCCTCATGCTCCGCTTCGGCCTCCCCCCATCATAGGCCTCTTCGGCCTTGCCTAAGTGAAGACTTAGAAGGGCGTCAGGCCAAGCAAACCCTGGCCTATCCGCGGAGGCTTCGCCTCAGCCACCCCTCCGCCATGCTTTCAACACACAAGTAAATTGAAGAGAACTACACTTGTCTCACGCTGTGATTTTTCTTTTGGAGGGGGATGGACCCTTCAGTAGCAAAAGCATAAGTGCAAAAAACACAAGGAAAAACAACACAGCAAATGCAACATTTGAGGCAAACATAAAAAATGCCACTGATTTTCATTATGCACAAAAATTTTTGGCTTTACAAAATTGTTTCAAAGCCAAGCTTGGGCCTTGCCTCCTGTCGGAAGGGGAAGAGCAGAGTTGGCAGCCTCCTCGGGAGAATCAAGGATCACCTTCAAGGATTCAGCACCGAAGTCAGGCAAAGCCACCACGAGCACCTTTTTGGTATCCTCAATCCCATCCAAGTAAGCCCCAAAGGCAAGATCGGCCAGTTCCTCAGCCCGCTTCCCTGCCTCCTAGGCCCTCTTCTCAGCCTCAGCGGCCTTCTGTTCAGCCTCCACGGAACGCTTTGCTCCTCCCTCGGCCCTCTTCTCCACCTCGGCCACCCTCTTCTTCGCCTCGGCAACATCTCCCTCGGCTTGAGTGAGGCATCGCTCAGCCTCAGAAAGAAGGCTTCCGATGCAGGCCCTCTCCAACTGCTCCTTGGAGAGGCTTTCCTGCACCTCCTTCAGCTGCGCTTGAGCCTCCATCCAGAACTTTTGTTCATCGATGCAGCTCTGTCGGAACTTATGGTACTTTTTCTCGGCAGCGGCGGCAGCCTACTGGAGCTTTCCCTTCTCCTCCAGCTTATCCATCTGGGCCAAGGTCAACTTCAGCCAGTCCCCGAGACCAACATAGTGAAGGCAGGCCTGCAGCGAAGAAACAGTTAGTATTCCACAGAGAAACAAAAAGGCATGAAGGAAAAGGGAGAAGCATTACCTCGGTCAGGCTTCCCAGGCCATGGGTGTAGACTCTCTCAGGCACGCTCCCCAGCATCTAAAAGCGGTCCCTCGAGAGGAGGGCCCCGCTCACCAGGGCTTGACCAACCCCCTCCTCCCGGATGGTGTCCTCCTCGCAAACGTTCCATTGGGGACGAAAGATCTGGTTAGACCGCTTGACGAGCTCCTCTAAGGGTGTGGGGGTAGAAAACGGCCCCATTCGTTCTTTGCGGGACCCCCTCGAGGCATCCCCCGTCAAGCCCCCRGAGCAGGCCACCTTCTGTGGGGGCTGATCCCCTACAGCTTCCTCGGTCGGCCTCTTCTGTCCCGCCTCGGTCTCCTGGGTAGGCTTCTACGACCCGGTGGTCGACTTCGGCAACACCTCCTCGGCGAGCTTCTTCCCCTTGGTAGGGACTTGTGAAGTTGCTCCCTTCGTGGGAGCTGCTGGAGTGGTCCCTTTAGCAAGGACCTGACAAGAGGTCCCTCCCTTCGCAAGGGTAGAGACCTTCTCCTTCTGCCCGTCAAAAGGCCTCTGAGGTGTTTTAGCCCGCTCCTTCTACATTGCGCGAGCACGTTCCAACACAACCTTGCGGAAATCCATCGGCACCTCTGCAAATAAAGCAAATCCATTAGTAATGCAGCAAAAAAAACAAAAAAAAGGAAAAAGACGTGTTAAGGGACTGCAGGGCCTCTCCTATCAAGGGGAGCAGGGCTGAGCCCCGTAAAAACTAGTGGGACCTCCTCCTCCACCAAAGGCTGGGCACGGACTCTCCCCAGGTCGAGCAACCGTGTGAGATCATCGTTCTCCTCACTCATGAGCAGGGGGACACTCTTCTCCGTAGCCCGGCTAACCTCTCCCCACCCCGATCTGAAGGACCAACCCTCAGGACATGACAAAAAGAAAAATTTTCCCTTCTAGTTATGCACGGAAGAAGGGTTGTCTATCAGCTTGGTCCTACGGGGTTGGAGGTAGTACATGCCGTCTTTGGAAGAATGCTTCCTTGGCACAAACAAGGCTCGGAAGAGTCTTGGCGTCAGTTCCACCCCCTGGAACCGAGCCACCACCAGAATGGCCACTATAGTCCTAACGATGTTGGGCACCAGCTGGCTAAGAATAATCCCATACGCCCTCAACAGTTCGGAAATCAGCGGATGAAGGGGAAACCGAAGACCGAACTGGAGAAAATGTTGGTAGATGTAGATCTCCCCCTCCTTAGGAGTCCACGGCTGTTCGCCTACTTCGAGCACCCTCATACCATAATACGAGGGAATGAAGTACTGCCTTGCTAGAGCTTTGACCTAGTCCCCATCTAGAGAATTCTCGAAACCCAGGCGGAGGACATCGGTCTCAGCTACTGCCTGGGCAGCCCTCGTCCCAAGAACATGGTCTAGAGTTTCCTCCCCCTCGGCTGGGTAGGACCCCTCGGCCTCCCTCGGTGTCACGGAGCTGGCACTCTCGTAGGGAGGGTCCTCGCCTCGACGACTACCTTCGGCACCCTCGGAGGCTACCCTCCCCCGAAGCACCTCAACCTCCTACAGAAGGGGGGCAAGAGTAAAAGGACTCAAAGGAGAAAGGGGAAAAGGGATACGGGAAGAGCTCCACTCCGACTCATTCGGAAGATCATAGCACTCGGGTCAAAAATCTGAGAAAGACATTGTTTAAAATTACCTAAGAAATGTAGAGGAAGAAAGAGTGAGAATGAAGTGTTGAAGGGTTGGAGAGTATGGAAGCTGAGTTCACTCGAAAGCAAAGGCGCTTAGAGGCAAACGACAAGAGTGTTGCCGCTAAGGGCCCTATTTAAAGGAGAACGAACGGCCCAGATATCCCAAGATCCAATGGTTGAGTCGCCACCACCTCCACAACTCAACCACAGCACGCCGCGTAATGCTCATCCTCGGAAGGCGAAACGATGTGCTAGCTACGGCTCAAATCATCCCTGATCCAACGGACGCAAAACGCCTCCGCACCTGCAATCCAGCCGCGCCACACCCCTAAATGTCCGTTCTCGGAAGGCGAAACGACACTCAGGGTGCACCTACGATCCAGCCGTGCCACACCCCTAAACATCCGTCCTCGGAAGGCGAAACGACCCTTAGGGTGAACCGACGTGTCCGCCCACTGTGAACCACCGGCTTATGTGACCTGGCTGCGCGAATACACGCGCTGATTTGACCGAAAAGCCACTCCGTGCACGGGATGTTTTCCCAACGCGTAGACCTGTGCAGGTTACGGCCCCAACCACCCGTCCAAAGCAGTGGCGTCGCAAATCACTCGTAGCTTTGGCCCAACTTATGAAGGCGAACCAGGTGGAGACACAAAAGGGAATGCCACTACAGGGTACACCTCAGCTGTCGGACCCACTGGCATTCACCATTACTACTCCCATCAGCCGAAGCCGAATTCTTCACCTTTACCTCAGGAGTGAGGGGGAAAGTGATGTAGGGTGGCCCAGCCCACAAACGGCAGAACCAGGAACACGACTAGCCACAGCAGAAGCTACCCTGCACCCCTCGTACGGAGCCAATCGCAAAGCGCCCACACGTCCCTGCAAAGCTCTCTGACTGCCCTTGTACGGCTCCCATCTCAGGTGTTCATCTCCACCAACCTCCAGGCAGCTCAAGTACCCCCCCTACAGGTAAGGGGGGACCTGATTCTGATTCTCAAATCTGACCCTACCACAGAACTTGAGTGTCCTCACTTTGGGAGTCCAGTACCTACGCATAGCCTCCTCAGAGACTTCGTCTGTACTTGATTCCCCTCTTCGCACCCCCGTACTRACTTAACCGTCAGAGACTCTGCCTCGGGTCCTAACCCGAGGCCTCTGACGTCCTGTCTTTTAGAACTCCAGTTATTAATCCTCAGCTTCTGCAGGATTCAAGCAAGGGCACATATGTAATTTTACATTGTCTTATTATTTGAGTGGTCGCCCTAATATAAATATCAAAAAGGTTGGCGCCACCAGCTAATGTTTTTTCTCTCCAAAACCTTTTTTCTCTTTTCTCTCCTCTCTTCTCCCTCCTCTTCTCTCACTATTCTGAGATCCTTCTGCGTGTTTACCAAGAAAACAGAATCCATGCTAGATATGGCTCACCCAAGGATCAAAATTTTCACAATATACCAACCCATATCATCTAATATACATTGTATCAAAGGGTACCAATACATTTTTTTTAAGTTTTTTAAATGATTGTTTTAAACATTATAATATATTATTTCAAGGTTCGCTTTAAATTTTGAACAGAAAAAAAAAAAAAACTAAAAAAGAATATAGGGCAGAAGGTTCAAAGTACCACTACATCCCTTCCACCATATCGGGGTGTACCGATACTTTGAATCTTACCTATTGCATTCAAATATTTACTGTTTAATCAATAATTATTCAAAAATAGAGGAAGTGGAAAGCCTAGCACATGAAATCACATGCCCTATGTGATTTGCTTAGAAGTAAAATGGAAAATGTAATTTGCTTAGAAGTAGATAGTAAGTAAATGGTAAATTTAGTCTAGCGAAGATATAAACAAATTGCAGTTGGTGATGAAGAAATTGACATAGCACCAAAACGCCACCAAGTATTGTGTGGTCATGGAATATAACTAGAAACAAAAATGCAATACCTTATTTTGCGAAGAACAGAAAATACATCTTGGATTGTAAGTGGAGGAGGAGGGACAAGTAATGATTGCGTCTGTCGGCATAATTGTGCCACATCACCTTTTATACATGAAGGCCATCAATATGTTATACATGAGTATGTGTAAGAATGTTAGACAGCAAATCAAAGAGAATCATTCTCTCCTACCAAGATCGCCTAAAGTATTGTACATGTCCTTTATTCTGGATCTGTTTGTCCCACATGCCTCTTCAAGTGCAGCTGTCACCATACTGCCACCAATGTTCAATTCCTGCACTACTGACAATATCATTACACACCAAATAAACAATCTTGAAACTAATATAATCAGCTAAAAAAAAATAAACTCCACCCAGACCACATACCGGACAGAAATTTAAATATGGTATGTGAAGAACAACCCTTCAAGTTAGTGCTTCCCAGCTATGATACCCAGACATGGTTATTCACATGGACACTATAGGAAATGGGGACACAACTCTCCATTTCCTAAAATCCCAGACACAGGATATAGGTATTTTTATCCCATATAATATGCTTGTCTCATGCTTCTATATCTAGTTTTTGAAGCTAAGTCTCATTTATTAAGACGTATGCCTTGCCAAATTTAATTAAATTTTCTTTATACAGATTCTTTGTATTATGATTCGTTAATATATACCATATTACATATTAAAGTGCTAGTGCAAATTGAGTATATATGGGAGTGGGCATGGCTTTTTTGCATTATTATAGTGCTCAAGGGCATCTATTAATTTTCTAATCTATTATATAAATAATTTGAGAAGGGCAGAGACCCCCATTTGATAGCTATCATTTTTATCTTTTTTGATCAATAACTGCAGATTCATTAAATAAGAAGGTATGTGTACAGAGTAAAATATAAACACTGAGAGATAAGACCTCTGATCTCTCCCCAAGCTTTATCCTTTTACAATTGTGCCCAGAACAAATTTTCTCTTCCCACCCCTTGCTTTGCCAACATATCTACAAAGGAGTTTGGATGTGTCTTATCCCACTTTACTCTTACTTCCATATCCTTGGTCAACCATTTAAACTTTTTCTTCTCACTGTTGTAGTTCCATAGCTTCATTTCTTCACTTTGTAACTCTTGACAGTGTAGCCGGCCAGAGATAAGTGGAAGAGGAGAGAAGAGAAGAGAAGAGAAGAGAAGAAGAGAAGAGAAGAGAGGAGAGAAGAGAGAAGGTTTTGCAATGTAACAGTACTGGCGGCGCCAGTCTTTATTTTACTATATATAGGGCGACAGAAATAACAAGGAAAAAGACCCTTGTGCCCCTGAGTACAATAACAGACATAACAGAAATAAAAAACGAAATAAAAAA